GGTAAGCCGGCTCAAGTGGACACTTTGCAGTAGTTTTCTAGTCCAGTTCAAGTGTTTTTGGTCTTGGTGGCGATTCCAGTTTTGTCATTTATGACTTCTAACATTGTGCTCCATATAGCTTGAGACCAAACCACAAAAACATGTTTGTCTCCGACATTTCTAGTCATGAGAAATTTCAGGTAGAATAAAATCAATTTATAATATACTCAGAAATGCGGATCAATTTGTGAAAATGAACTAAAATCATTCAATGGCCGTGATTTATTTTTAAGCTACAGTCAGTGAGAATTTCTTTAAGAAGTTTAGGAAAGAACTGACATGAAATATTAAGCCTTTAAGCAAGCTACCAGTGCCTCGAAAGACCAACAAGACAACAACTTCAAGCAAATTACTGTTTAAATAAAATTATGCCATTCGAGTGAATGCACAGTTCAGATGTCGACGAGGAATTAAATTTTTCTAAAGAAAGATTTCCATCCTTTCTATTTTTTCGTGATTCGAGCTTGAACCAAATGTTGACATAATTTCATAAGCTAGTAGAGTCAGGGGTAAATGTTAGTGCAGTCTATAGAGTCTTCATATACAATGTTAGGGCCCGAGAGAAGCCAGTCACGATTGAGTGAGTGATGGATAGCGATTTCGAGCGATCGCTCTAAGTTACTACAAGCCTTGTTCTTAGGCGGAATCAGTGTCTTTTGACCATGTGTAAATATTTGTTCTTCCGTATTCTTTGTATTCCGTGAGGAGTGACAAAAGTTAAAGTTTGCTTCGATTCCGGACCCCCGAATTTGTAGTAGAAACGTATATTACATTATTTATTCATTAGTCTGACAATTAACGCCATTTTTGCAAATTTGTATTGATTTAAATATTTTAACTTATTGCTCGGAAATGTTAGTAAATGGTTACACTTAGAACTCGCGGACTTGTAACTGTGAGCAAAATTAGTAAATGATAATGATTTCGAGATAGCAAATAGCAGAACAGATGGATTAATGTTTCTTGTGGAAACCGTGTGACACTCGCGGGCCTCACATGTTTCTTTTTAATCTCCTTATTTACGAGATTTGGCAAACAAGTCTTGAGTAGTTAGTGTTTGTTTTCGACCACGTCTTTTTCGACATGTTTTCGCATGTAAGTTGTTCTATCTGCTTTGATAAGTATAAGATTACCAGTTTTTACTAATAATTATTGTAGAACTAGCTTTCACGGTGCTCGATGACCGAACCTGTGCCCATGTAAAACTGAGAAAATTTCTGTTCAGTCTTCAAAATCAATGTTATTATATCAGATCGGTAAACTACGGTTCGTTTATACTGTTACACATCTTTTTTCAAACATGACTGAACTTAGAAGAGCATTTTCAAATCAGAATCCGTTGATCATGGCAAGGTCGCCTGGATCAGCTGGATGCTCATGATCCACTGACAAGTCCCTACCATGTTACGAGCAAGAAAGTACCCTGCTCCAAAAAAGACACCCGTTCCGTTTGAACTTTAAGGTTTGTCAGAATTGAGTATGATGATTGACGCTCTATTTTTCCGAATGGTCCTTATAAACCAGTCAGTTGAGAATTGCTAAGAAATCAGGTCAAACTGACAACCGAATAACAAACGGCTACAAAAGTCGGCGTTGATTTCCGCTGAAACCCACAATGATTGCAGAATTTTTAAATGTTTAGAATTAAAAATTTCAATTTCTCACAGGCACACTGAATACGAGAGTACATAAAACTCGAATTAAATTTATAGTTTGTCCTTCTCACTACTACATTCATAAGTTTGATCTTCAGTTCAAGATTTCTTGTCATGAGATTACTTTGATCTAACCTTCGGCTCCCTCGATCATGCAATGATTCAAGTTCCATTACTAAATTGTAGAAAATTTGTAATATTGAAAAGGTTTTATTAGAATGGTCACCTTACATAGTTTGAATTTGTTTCTTGCAGTGCAACTAGCGGACACTGGGGAAGAGAAATTACCAGTATTTTTTAATATGTCGCATACGGTTCTCAGACTGTTAACAATTAAGTCTACACTATTGCTACACAATCTGTTACTTTTCCTTTCAAATCTTCTTTTGTTACATTTCATAAGACAATGCTCTTTCACTTCTTTAAACTGAGGTACAATTGTAGCTCTTTTAAGGGGAAACGGCCAGTAACATCTTGAATATTTGTGTGTTTGGGGTCATTGCTTTTTCCTGTGGTTCTGTCTAGCACCTCTTGCTCGATAAGGTGTGGTAAGAAATAACGCATCTTTTCAGGATTAAAAACCACTATACAATACAGATTTTAAGGTATATACATGAGAGACCTTAAAGAAATATCTTAATAATTGGTTTATGGCTTGTTTTCGTTAGGGAAAAACAAGAGTCACAATAGGCACTCTTGGATGAAATGATAAACAAATAGAAAATAACAATTTAAATTGTTAAGCTGCCAAAATTCTTAAGAATGTTTAATAATTGTTAAACGAAATAATCTATGGTTTGTTTAAGTTAACTATTTATCTTTGCTGGCACATTTTATGTAGTTTGTTTTCGAGGTCAAGCCCTACTTGTTTATTTAGTAATAATATTAAAAACTGCTCACTCTGATTTATACTGTTGTTGTAGCAAATTTATGTGGCCAATTCGTGACTGCTGTTGAAACAAAATAAAAAATTTCCCGATGGTGAAAGTTAAAGTTTTGTTTAATTCATTATTAACTAATCAATATGGTATTTTGAGATTTTGAAAGGCCACGGCAAATATTTTAACGATGCAGACAAAACATAACCTTTTCTTCGCAGGTTTTGCACGCAACGTTGATGGACTCGGTTAAAATGGCTTGATTTTTGTGTAGTGAACAACGCTTCTGATTTCTATCTTACGTAGAACTGTTTCGTGTTAAGAGCATTTAAAGTATTTTGATGCAAGGAAATGGTCTGTATAAATGGTTGTTTACAGTTTTTTATCAAGCTAATTAGGGAATGAAAGCCACAATGTTCCACCCCCAGTTCAAGGCTCATTGGCCAACTCCGCCCTCTCGACGTGGTTTCTTATCGTTTGTAAAACTGAGCTTAAAAAGTCTCAGCTCGTGGAAGTTACCTTGCTATCCCAGGCATAGAACTCACGAAGCTAGTGGCATCTTTTACTTCACTGAGAGAGCATTATTTCCACAACAAAGACGATTTTGTCATTTCTGCAGTGCCTAAGCGATTGTTATCTGTTTATTCGGGTTTATTCGTGGGAAAAACGTCTCAAACATTCACAAATATCACTTGTAAATCTCGCTGAGGGTAATGAAAGTTCAGCTTAAAACGCTGCCATTTCCGTGGGTGTTCTTTAGTCGACTTTTGGATCACACTTGTCGTACTATTTGTCTTCGTTCTACGTCATAAAAGATCAGTTTGGAGGGAATACGCTGGCCTTAACACATGTGTTCCGGAAAGTTTAAAATTGTATACGGAAATATCAAATAAAAAATTCAGGTTTGTTGTTAGCGCGGTTAGATGTTATGAAAATAATTTGGTTAATTGTTCTGTGTTGTTAAAACGAAAAAAGCACGTACCAAGTATCTCGGTCACCCTAAATCCACTTAGAGTGCGGGGGTGAATTTGTTTGCAAGTGTTGTTCCGAACCAAATATCCTTTCACGTGAAGTCATAAAATAAAGGTTTTTAGAACCTTTAACTTGGACCCTTCTAACTAGTCGGTTCGGTACATTCTCTCTTTAAATCTCCAGTTAGTGGATTTTATATTTCTCTCAAAAGCATTTCCGTCCATGACGCCAGAACGATGACTGCCGTTGAAAACGATCGATGCAGTTGAATGCGCTGTTACCGTGCTTACGTTCATGATTAAGGCTAATACTCAGTTGTTGGATGCCAAAAAAGCTTGCAGTATTGTTGGATCAAATAAAACGTAATTAAGGTTAGAAGACAAAGACAAGAACTGAGTGGCGTACCCTTTTTCCATGCTCAACAAACGGTCTTCTGTCAAATCAAGAAGTGGATGATCCATTGGCGGAGTTGCCCAAAAGCACTTTGACTGGATCGTGGATGCGAGAAAATGTCTTGTCTTCTTCACACCAAAGATATTTTAAAGCGAAATCAAAGTCCATTTAACGCTTTTGTTTGATCACTAAGGAAAGATGAGCACTGGTTTACGTTGAGATCGAAGGAAGGTCGCATCGCGCACACATAATTACATGATGGCCCTGTCATTGGAGTTTTGACACGAAAGCGCTAAAATGTTCCCTGTTTTATATCAGGGTTGCTCTTTGGAAGTGGACACGACAACTTACAGTCAATCATAAAAATCTCACTCCGTTATTTCATCATGTATCTTGTGATTTTTATTTCAATAAATAAGACATGTTAATCACCAAGGCACTTCATAAGGGCTCAAGTAAACGAATCTCTGCGGCCGTGAATCAAGAAGGAAGGTGACTGGATTGTGTCTCTGTACATCTAGTATTTACAACTTCTCTTTTAGAAATGACCTAACGTGAAGGGTTTCTTAAAATTGATGGGTTTTAAATACGTAGAAACCAGACAAATGGTTAGTCTGGTCGTAGATATTTTGATTGCCGCAGAATTCTCAAATGATGAGACTAATTGGGTCAAATGGCTTATACAGGTATAGTATAAACGAAGCAGAAAGTTAGTTCAATTATAACTGATCGTGAGGTTGCTCGTTTCGATCTTTTTGTAAGTTTAATAGCATCACGTTTCGGCACCTTTCAAGCCATTGCTGCAATTTGTACATGCAGAAGGGCATCTGGAATTGATGTTTCTCTACTGACTAGGTTGAGAGGTTCAATTTTTTAAGAGAAGCATGAAATTAGACAGCCCTGCATAAAGAATCAACTTAAGCCGGCTTCCCGTGGGTAAACGTCTCTCCAATTGGCCTTCGACTGGGGGTCTGCTTTTGATGTCGAAGTAATCTGGCGCAATTTGTGAATAATCCAAGGATCTTTTAAGTCAAACGTCTAAGCAGCGACCGGATGGAGACCATCACGATACGGATTCCTGTTTCGCTGTTCCCATTAGTTCTAAAGCCCAGACGTGTTGTGGCCAACCTGTTCTGGAGCTGCGGCGAGGTGGAGCTACGCTGCTCTGTTTTTCATCATCACTCTGTTTAAGAAAGTGCGAGAGAAATCCTCATTTTTAATACAACATTTGGTTAATTCGAAGTGAGTACAAGGGAATGAGTCATCGGAATGTGCAAGTCGCGAGCCTGCACTTCAAAGTACAGGAGAGAGGGGATTCGGGGATGGGACGATATTTCACAAACCAACCACAACAATCTGTTGTAAATTAACTGTGCATTTGCATAGAATAGAAGCGGAACCCCATAGAGTTCATTGAAGGTAAAGTCCTCGTAAAGTCAAGAGACGAATGTTATTTTCTTTGCATTTTATAAGACAGTCGATCCATAATTTGAAGTCCCTGCACTAAACCTCGCGAAATAACTTAGAATGAAAACCAGTGGCTCATGTAGAAGCCAAATGATCATTTGTAAAAACACTTAAGGGTTGATATTACAAGAAAGCATATTACGAAATAATGGCCTTAGCAGGAGGCCCCACTTTTGCATTACAAGGTCCCAAATAAATATATCCCTTAAAAAACGTTAATTAGTATTTACCCTTGGTGAGTTCGATTCCTCTTTGGTGTGATTACTGCTATCCTTTTCACCCTCCGTCGAGTTGTTGTTTGCGTCTGTTTCATGTGTTGGCTCTGTCGTAGGCGTAGCAATTTCCTGGTCGCGGGTTTCGCCTTCTAGTTGATTTTCCAAATGATGTATATAACTCATAGCCAGCTTTAGAGTCTTGATCTTAGATAACTTGGTGTCAGATGGAACGTTAGGAATATGTTTCCTTAAGTCTTCAAACGCTGCGTTGATGTTCTGCGTTCGTCTTCGTTCTTTCCTGCTCGTTGCCGTTTTAGGATTGGATTTTCGTCTCCGGCATCCGCCACCAATTTCTGGTCTGTTAGCAGGAGAGCCGCTTTCAACTTCATTGCGATCTGTTCTCTGAGCGTCGTCACAATGATCTCCCATGTTTTGAATTTCAGTATCTTTAATGCGGCGTCAATCTAACACCGTTTTAACGACAAATGCAAGGATATCTAGGTTGAAAATGGCAGTATAACAACTATATGTCCTGAAGAGTGTAGCTGCTGAACAACTTTGGAGAACTGATGTGATCGCTCTTGCGTAGGTTCTATTGTTTTGAAACGTCCCATAGCCCTGTTACGAAGCAGTTCCCAGAATCCCGTGCAGACCGCATTCAAATGCGTGCCTGTGGGTTACTTGACAATTTCCGTTCTCTTATCGGTCATCAGACCCGAGCTCATTTGACGTATTCTTGTTTTCCCGTGTTTATAAATTCATTAGGAATTTACCGCCACAATTTAAAATGATATTTACAATAAAACAGTGCAAAATTGTCGTAAAGTTGTGTCCTCCGAAGCCAGAGTTTGTCATTTTCCTCTTTTGTCTCTCATGAGGTTGTCAAGTCATCAATCTAGCACATGACAGGATAAATTCATGACTTATCAATTTGCACGTTTTAGATTTTCGAAGATTTGATGAATTGATAGTTCAGGGACGCATCAATTCATTCCTCCACCATATGGATATTAATTCGCCGGTTGTTTTGCTACTCTTCCGTTAACCCTCAGAAATATGATCACTATCTTTACCACAAAGAAAAAATCTTTACCACAAAGGAAAATACGGTCAGCTGTTATTTTCGTAGCATACTGCATCTAACTTCATCTCAAAGTCCTAAAAGTGTCAGTCTAAAATCCGATCTTCATGACAGTTACGCGACTATGGTATTGCAAGGATAAGAAACATACAAGTAAAAATTGACTGAAATTTCCAGAGTTTGTTGACGTTTTTCTCTTCTGGGTTAGTAAGATACCAGTTTTCCACGAATTTGTGCTGATTTTCCCACGGATGGGTTGACTTTATCCGGAAAATCGCCTTACCGTGGCTGCATTTGCTTCCTTGCCACCCAGAATTCACTTGAGTGGAAGAGAACAATTTTTCAGGTTAACTTAAGAATGCTCATTTTCTCACTTACATTTTAAAGCACCTTAGTTTGTAGCAATTTAGTTCCGTAAATGAAAGAAACGACCATAAATCTTTGCGGCCACCCACAACTCAATTGCAAAATATAAAACATATTTTAATAGCACCTGAAAATGCGAACTATGGGGATTTAGGGAGGGCGTATTACATGAAACTTGTTAATGACTTATGCCAACACAAACCTCCAACAACTATATAGCCCTGTCTTGAAAATTTAAGCTAGCTTTACCCGAAATTAATGGTCTAGTTATATTTTTTATCTAGTTTGAGTCTTCAACTCTTTCTAAATGAGAGAATTGTACCAGCGCTTAGCTAACAGACAATCCAGACTGGAGCGTCAAGTGCAATCCACCACTAGCACAAAGCCACAGACATTCTCATTTTACTCTAAGTTGACACGAGAAAGGTTTACGTCTTTCAACATACTGCCCAGTTTAAAGGTATTTAAAATCCACTTTCGACATAAATGTCTAAAGTATTTTTGTCTTTCCGTCATCGTGTGACAAGGTATAACTAATTAATTTATATTTGGAGAGACACTTTGACCTTGAAGTGATAAACAAACACTTTTATCCGTGAAATGTAAAAATTCATCTCAACGAAATTCTTTCAAGAAGGCAGGGCCACTGTTAAGTCTAGCAGTACTTTCAAGAAAATATAGATTAAATACGTCAAACTACCGCTAGGTCTTTTTGTGGATATGATGACAGAACTTTGCACGGTTAATTTACCACGTGCGCACAAGTGTACACAGATGAGTCTCTGCTGTTTTCCTGCTTAGCCCAGTCACGTGACTTGACAATGAAGGAAGCTCAGCATCTGTGATACTAACCACTCACAGCAACGCAGCATCAACAGCAATAGGCTCATTTTACAAAACATTACAATACACATTCCAAACTAGCATTACTTATCCTTTACTCGCCGCTTTTTTCAATATGTATTTTTAAGCAAATCTTAGCCTGCGGGGCACGTGCGAGGGAGACACGCGAGGGGTGTCTCCTTCTCGAGCGCCCGTTTTTTCTTGGGCCCTCTGTGCCCACTACTTCCACGCACCTGCTACGCAGGCTAGGCAAATCTAAAAAGTACAGCACAGAAAACATAATTAAACATACAATGGGTAATACGGCCTCTAGGTATTGAGACTAATGCAGAGCCAGTGCACTTTAACTCCTGACTTAACTCTATTTTTGTAGCCATACCACGGAGTGGACTGGAGTAGTGATTGCTTCTTCATAGTTTTTTTAAATATATATATTTTTTCTGCACAAATAATATTTTACTGTACTGTCTTTTTGGCTGCTTAAATACCTTATTGAGACAAAGTTGGTTATCATTGATTCGTGTGATACCAGTGCAAGGCCAAAGTTCACATGGTGCCTGGAGAGCAGCAATGAAATACAGGGATTGCCCGTTAACAAGGGTGGTATCCCCGATACTTGAGTTAGTATACGACCAAACCAGTCGGGCTGCAATAATTCTTAGCGGGGACTTATATAGATCATTGGCAGGGCACATTTAGGGTCACATTGTACAGTCAGGAAAGGCGTGAAAGTTCATATCTTCGTAGCCTGCGTAGCTGGCGCCGGTTATTATCTGGTTATGAAAAATACACAGGCGCCTGTTAAGCAGGTTAATAGAGGAGCTCCACGCGCGGCGCTGACGGAGCCCCATAGCTAAGGAAATGTGGTAATCTACCCATCTGAGAAAATTTGGCAATCACGTGACCGTACACCGACCGACCGTCCGTCCGCACCACAGGCATACCAATGTAAAATAACTCTATCAACAGGTACAGCAACCCAAATGCAACTCAAGGTTTTATAGGTGGTTTTCATGCAATCTCGGTAGACACAAATAACAATGGTGAAATGAACAAATGCTGGTGGACAAACAAAGCGAGCTAATGAGCGATCTTTTGTTTACCGTCCACTGCAACATGGCGGCGATGACGTAACGTGAAAACCACCTTTCTGGAAGGAAATCACATGGCCGCCTGGACTTTTAGAAAGAAAAACAACAAAGTCGTGTCTTTTTCGGCGTTATTTTTTATGTTTACACTAACGCGGATAACAGAGAAAGAGCTAGAGCGAGTTATTGAAAACAAAGGAGACGAATTTCGTAGGAAGAAAAACATGGAAATTCAAAGCGGCGGTTAGAAAATGAGAAATGCTAGCGGCCAGCAAGGTGAAAATGAGCGGCAGTGAAAAATAAAAGCGAACGTGAACACCGGAAACAAAATATTGGGTAAGCACATACGACAATTCCTCCATAAAAATGTGTAACTAGGAAGTTTGACGTTTTAATCGTACAAAACAACGGCAAGGGAGAGACAAAAAAGCGTGCTGGACGTGCAAATTTGTCTTTTGTTAATTAGAAGAAAAAGTGTGCTGCACGTGTAATTTGTTTATTTGCTAATTAGATTTGTTAGTCTTGAAGCCATTTTCATTGTCGTCCCCGTTTAGCATGACACGATTTAATTTTTTTTGTTTACACGTATTATTAACCAGAGCTTCGCTTTTAGCCCTGGCTAAATCTATATATTATCTTTAGGACCAGCAGAACTGTGCATAATATAGAGATGTCTGTATTGAAGAGTTAGGAATTGTATGAAGTTTCTGTGGTATCTTTAGGACCAAGAGAACTGTCCGTAGTAGAAAGTGTCCCCATTATGTATAGAGAGGGATTGTATATAGTTTTTCTCTTTAGGACTAACAGAAGCATCCGTAATTCGGAGAGTTGTCGGTATTATAGAGATGGGAAACGGCATGAATTTCTGTATCATTCGGACCAACAGATCTGTCTGTAATGTAGAGCTGTCCCCCCTTGTATATACAAAGATAAGGAGTGTATGAAGTTTGGTATCTTTGGGAGCAACAGAAGTATCCTTGATTAAAAGGTGTCCATATTGGTAAGGATTGTCTAGAAGTTCGGTGTCTCTAGAACCAACAGAACTGTTCGTAAAAAAAACAGAGGTGTCCAAATAATAAAAGTGAGGGTAAAGGAGAAGTTAACCTTTACTTAGATGGTCCCTCGCAAAAGGATTTGGACTTCCGGTCACCTTTAGGTTTCCACAAAACGTTTTTTACAGTGTGTGAGTCATCTTACGTGACTTAAAACCTTTACAGCTTGTGAGTCATCCATCTTACGTGACTTAAACCCATGAATGGAATACGCAATAAATAATGAAGACACTGTGGGATAAGCACCTACCGTGTGGCACGAAATTTTGGGGAGTTTGTTTTTGCGGATTAGCGATTTTTTGTGTTTCGTGGGAGCTAATTTTTGCGATTAGGAGAGATCGGTTTTTCTTGCTAAGAATTAATTTTTGCGATTTTCATAAAGAACCCAATACCCAGCTTATTGATAATATTTTCGTTTTTTTTTAGAGTACGTGCAATACACTCTTTTTTTTCTATAAGAATATATTTTATAAGAATATCGAGGCTGAAATTTGCGAAATTTTAAGAATATTGTAGGAATAAACCCCAGGCTGAGGTTTTGAAAAGGATGTAATTTTGTGTGTTCAAAAACTGTAAATACCACACAATTATGTTTTCAACTTATTCCATCCTCTGAACCGCAAAACTTGCCAACAAAGCGCAAAAACCTGCACTAACAACACTTGATACCCCAATACGTTCTAAAACGGAAATGTCATAAGCTATAATTTAAGAATAATACAAGAATATTTTCAGCCTAAAATCGGCAAAAAAATAAGAATATTCAGCCTGGGCCGGAAAAACAACATTCTTATATAAAAAAAGAGTGTAGAAAGATAAACAATACTACCGTGTGTCTACCCTACAGTAAAACCAGTATTTCATAGTGTACTGTTTTGGTTCTGAACGAAAGAACAAGTTGTAATTGAACAGACACGATTTCTTAGTACTGTTTTTTTGTGAAGCGAATTAAATTTAGAAAACATTACTCTGGAGTAAAAGTGTTTGATGAAGTTCAAT